CACGCCTTAGCGACTCACTCGCTGCTTTTGGGGACTCTCGGCAACGGTGGCTTTCCGAACCTTGGCAAGAGGTAGCAGCACATGTTGCCTTGATCATTTTCCGGGCCGATCAGCATCAGCAGGGGCATGAGGAAATTCGTGGACATGAGGATGGACAGTCCGATCACCATGAAGATGAAGCCACCGAACTGGAAGAAGAAGTAGAAGCCGCATGCGAAGAGCATGGCTGCTGCAAAGAGGGTTGTAATGGCAGAGTTGGCAACGGAAATGCCCATCTCTTCCAAGGCAGCATGGGCCCGATCTGTCCGCGTCCTTGCAGGCGTGTTGTTGTAGGCATGAAGCAAGTGCACCGTGTAGTCCACGGATAAGCCCACCGTGGCGATCATGAAGATGCACTCGTTCTCACCCAAGCTCCATCCGAGGAGTGGCACGATTCCCAAGAAGGTCGCCGTGATACAAACGATGCAAACCAGGCCCAAGGTAGACGTCCACCAGTTCCATGTGGTTGCCAACAGCACGATCCAGCAAACCAGCAGTGAAAGGCCGATGCCCATGGTGGCTGCCTTGACCATCTAATTACAACAATAATAGCAATGATAGTGCTCGTAATAGTCATCATAATCATAATTCATGATTCATCATTAGAATATCCATGAGTTCAGGCTGCCTTGACCATCTCGTTCTGGGTCACAAGGAACAGGTACAACTCTGCCGTCTGGAAGCCCCCAAGATCCGGCGCCCACGTTTCCTTGAAGGTCTGCCATCGGTTGTACCACTCGTTCGCCTCATCCACGGTGTTCTCGCGGGGGAATGTGGCATTGTAGCTGATCCATGCAAACTGAATGGCGGTTTTGGCGTTGTTGAGCCGGATTCCTGTGTACTGAGTCATGAAATCTGCTTCATAGCGACGATTGATGCCCTTGAGGTAGTTCGCCTTCATCTCCATATATTCCTCCCATTCCGTCGTCTGGGGATCGCTCACAGAAGCGGTTGACAGAAGCGACAAAAATTCGCTCTCCGACAATCCCGGATAGCTGAGAGGGTCGGTCGTGGAGTAACAGCTCGGAGGCAGAGTGCTGTTTGTGTAGGCGCAGCCTGCGGCAGCAATGCACGCGCTTTCACCCTTGCCTTGGCAGCTGCCCTGCTTGGATGCCCAGAAGTAGCGAAGGTCTTCCATGAAGCAATAACGAGAGGTCACACAGCTCTCGTCAGCCCGGATATAGAGGCCAGAGGTCTGCCAAGCTTCCACGTCATGCGCACAGCCTCCAGGCAAAGGTGAGCCTTTCGCCAGGCACGCACGTGTGCCGCAGCGCGTGTCCGCATCGTCCTGTCCCCGGTCCACAGCCGTGCAGAGTGCCAGGAGCTCGAGCTGATGTTGAGGCTGCGCCAAATCAATGGCCGAGGTCCCACCGAACTTCGGCGCGTTCAACGTGGAGTCGTCCCTTTCGCGGGCCCAGGTCACGGGGGTCTCATCCTCCAGGCCAAAGACAATCGAAGCGGTGACAGGGCGTGTCGAGAATTCGAACTCCGAGAAAAGGATGTCAGAGCCCTTGATCACATCGATGTTCTCACGGCCGATGGGCGCCCTCTTCTTGGCAGTGCGAAGCTGAAGTCCAGCACTTGTGGCCATACCGATGACCACGGCGACCCAGAAAAGGATGAGCTTGATCTTGTGATTCTGGTATTGTCTGAAGACAAATCCGGAGAAGAACTTTTCCATAGCGCGCGGCTCAGGGGGATCCTCCGGCTTGGGAGGCTTGGGCAGCACTTTCCAGCTTCTGCCACAGCAGGTGAGGCAGGCTCGGAGGCCTCCGAAGCAGCAGCCGGGGCCCAAGCAGGTGCCTGCCTCACGGAGCTCAATGCCGCAGCAGCGGAAGCAGTAGCCGAAGCCCTTGATCCATTCCTCATAAACCAAGACAGCCGAGGCAAAGAAGCTGATACAGAAGAGGTAGTCCACCAGCACGACCACCGCAGCGAAGATGCAGAAGCTCTGAACCAAGGGCAACGGCGAGGTGGCACCGATGAAGAAAGAGCCGCAAGTGGTCAGAGTGGTCACAAGCATCGCCCCCACCGATCTGCGATAGGCCCAGCAGAAACGAGTGCTCTTGCTGTGGCTCACGCCTTCGGCATGCGCGGACTGCAACCAAGCATCGTAGAAGATGAAGACATCATCGGCACCGATACCAAGAATCATGTAGATCACGAGCATCTGATACCAGAAAATCTTCTGTCCCAGGATAAGCACCCAAAAGCACATTCCAACGGGAAGGGAAAAGATGATCCTCAGAAAACGGCACAGATTTCAACACGATTCTTCAAACCGACACCGACACCGAAGCGGACCGCGCGCCTGAAGAGTCGTATGCCAGGCACTGCAATCCCTTATGCAAAACGTGACTCTAGACAACAATGCAACACGAGCGGCTCGAACATGCCGCAGGAAGCGAGGAAAACGCCTTAGCCGGCGACACATAAGGCAGCTTGGGACACGACACTTTCGGTGACAAGAACTGGGCATCCTGCTTTCCAGCATCAGCCACATGTATGCCCAGACAGACACCAGTGAGCCGAGCGAAAGGAAGCCATCGACCAAGAGGATCCCCAGGTACTGGGCGATCAGCGTTGCACCAGAGAAGAGCATGATCCGGAGCTTGCTGCCATGCTCCCGCTCGTACCTTGCCTCAATCAGGGCTGCCTTCGCATACCAGCCGGTGCGGCCTTCCACGTATCCCAGCTGGAACCGCTCACCTTCTTTATCATCCTCTGGGTCGTTGGCTCCAGCGAAGAAGCGAGAGAGGGCATACTTGCTCTTCCGCGACTCGCAATCGAAGGAAATGGGCATGAAGCTGTTTTTGCTGTTCCACCACAGCGGCAGCGATGGGTCACACATCTTGTCCAGGATCGCCTCCTTGGCAGCCCCCGTGACCAAGCCTGTGGCATCTGTCGCTGGGAAGTATGCAGAGGAACTGCAAATCTGGTGCGTTCCTGGAGGAGACCAGCCACAGGTCATGTTGCTCGCGCACCCTGCTGCCACGGTCTGCATCATCGCTTGCTCGACCCTGTCCAACGCCATCATAGTGACAGGGCCGCTTGTCGTAGGCAGAGGACTCCGGGTCGGAGCAGCTGCGCAGAGCTGGCCGAGGGCAGAGGTGGGATCCAGGGTAGTGGTGGTCGTGGTGGGCTCGTTGGCTTGGGCCTGGGCCATGCTAAGAACATTGCTCTTCCAGTTGGCGATGCATGTCTGGATCGATGTCGGCCAACTGGTCTTCGGATCGGAAGTGCCGGCACCCTTCATGGTACCGTCGCTGTTGCAAACCTGGCAAGTATCCTCCATGTGACAAATGCATGACATCATTCCCCCAAGTCCCAGGAAGTTCATGCCGTCGAGGCCCTGCTGCGCAACTGTGTTGAGACCATCGGTGTCCATGGAGAACATGTGTGTGAGACCAACGCCAGACGCACACTTTGGGGTGCCAAAGCCATGGCTGGGATATGCCATCAAACACCAGTCCTCGTTCCATGGGGAAGCTCGCTTTGCACCGTCGTAGGTGTACTCAGCACCATCAACGTCTGTGAAAAGCTCCGCCTCGTAGTTTTTGATGATCTGCATGACGTCATCATCCAAGATGTTTCCATCCTCCGCCACAGCCTCATAGATCACGCTGATGAACGCCGGCAGAAAGTCCAGGTACAAGGGGCTTTGCCGTGCCTTGGGCGGAGCGGATGGGCACTCAAGTTCCTGGCAAGATCCACGTGGGCCACGTGTCACCCACTCGCAAAGCTCATCAGCCTTGCAGACGTCCTCGTCCTCGTGCGCCTGGTCAAAACAGCCTGGCCTCTCGCTCAAGGCTGCTTGGTAGCCAAACCACTGTTGCACTCGGATGTCGGTTTCTACCGCAGGATCCTCGAATGAGAAGATGTCAGTGCCCTGCACCCCGATTTCGCGGACGAAGAGCACGGTGAAGAGCCAGCCGAGGAGGAAGAAGCTCCAACATGGGACGCAAGGGCCACAGCAGCCAAAGCATGTCCCGATCAGGCAATTCTCCCAACAGCATGGATCTGGGCCACAGCAGCACGGTGGAACCTCTGCTTTCGGCTTGCCACTGTCCACCACCTTGG